GCAGCGTTCGGGAAATTACGACACATCTTCTCGTCAGGTATACCTCAATCTCTGAAAACTAAAGTGTATAACCAGTGCGTGTTGCCAGTGATGACTTACGGATCTGAGACGTGGTCCTTCACTGCTGGCCGTATGAGGACGCTCAAGGTCGCTCAGCGAGCTATGGAGAGGGCGTTCAGGTCATATCCGCAGTAAAACCAGAGTGACCGACATAGCCCAACGGATTAGTAAGCTGAAGTGGCAATGGGCCGGCCATATAGCTCGAAGAACCGATAACAGATGGGGAAGAAAGGTTCTCGAGTGGCAGCCTCGTACCGGTAGGCGTAGTGTAGGACGACCCCCCACTAGATGGTGTGACGACCTGGTAAGACATGCAGGAAGTCGATGGATGCAGGTGGCTCAGGACCGTGCTTTGTGGCATTACTTGGGGGAGGCCTATGTTCAGCAGTGGACTTGTGAAAGGCAGTAATGATGATGATGTCCAATTACAGGGCAAAAAAAGTAATACTAAAACGTGGTCAAATAAAATTTTTAATGTAAAATTGTACTTATTAAAGAAATGAAACAAGGAATTTTCATGATTGAACACGTTTTTATTTTAAAATAATAACATTGATATACTTTGTTATGTGAAAATCTTAACAAGAATCAACAATATAATTTTTATATAAAAATATTAGAATATGTGCTTAATTAATAAAATAAAACAATATGTAGTATCAAATAATGAAAATATGACTTCTAGCATTAATAGGAATAATATTGTAAAAATTCTAAAAATCACACTAGAGCATTGTCAATCATAGTTAACACCCGACCGGTATAATAATTAAAGCATTTTTTTTATTGTATTACTAGTTCCATTAGCCTAATCACTATCGGTATCATATAAACATTCGCTAATATTTACGAATTCAATATGATTAGTATGTTGTGAAGTTGAAGCTACTGGTTCCATATCTTCCCATATATCCTCCCTGAGAGAAGATTTCATATCCTCTTGCATGTGACCCTCCATGGCAGCATCGTGCAACATATCATCATCTGTGTCTTCCATGTCGGACCTTTCTGGAACAGTATCTTCACTGTAAACACGATTAATGTTTTCACCTTGTTTTTTTCGCCGCTCTTTCTAATGTGAGACGGTTTCCAATCCGACGACGGTTTTAAATCCCTGTGTGCTGAACGACCGTTCGGTGGCTGCTGGCGTGCAGGGTGCAGTCAATACTCTAAGTGCAACTTTACTTAACTGACTTGAGCCACATATCCCCTTCCACCATAAAATGAGATTTACTTTCTCAGCGGCCTAGTAAATGGTTTGTTCCAAAGACCTTCTTTATATTTAGCCAGGTCAGCAAGACAGTCAATGTTGCAATGCTCAGCGAGGTTATAGATTAATTCCATGGCTTCAGTTTCTTCCGCCTCATTTAGTTCAATGCCTGCAGATTTAGGATCAAACATGTAGGCCGTATAATGTATGGGTTTTATGCAGTGCTTAACTCGTTTTTCAATGTAAGGTTTTATGTTCTCCTTGCTGTCGTCATCCAGCATTGTGATTGTTGGTAACACAAGAATTTGTGTTCAAACTTTGATTTCAGGTTTCTTAGCACCATAAATACTTCATGTATGTTGAATTCATTGCCTTCCAGTTTAAAGATACTTTCTGCTATTGGCTCAAGAACACTGATGGATTGTTCTATCATAGACCAGAAATCTTCATCTAAAAGTGTAGATTTAATATCGGGCGTTGGCTGAAGGTTTTCATTAACAGCTAAAGTCTGTAGTGCAGCTTTATTAATTTTCAGACTTTTTAATGCACTGACATGACTGCCCCATCTTGTCTTACAGGATAATTATTTTAGACTCTGACTAGAGCTTTTTTAATTTCTAATTTTACTTAATAAAGCACTTAAGAATTGACTTTTTTTAATATTTTTAATAACATCTGTTGCGAGATCTATGAAAGCTTTAACTTCGGGTACTTTTATTACATCAACGCACAATAAATTCAGAGTGTGAGCATCACAGTTCAATGGCACAATATGTGGGTATTTGTTTTTTATCATTTCGAATGACTTTTGGACATTTCGTGCGTTGTCACCAATAAGGACCACAAATATACTCACTCCGTAAGATTTCATTACTTTTTCAGTTTCACAACTTAAATACTCACTTGTGTGCTAATTATGAAGTGTGTTCAGACTTTTTATAAAAACAGGTTCTGGCTTGGATATTAAAAAATTTATAATGCCTTCGTTGCAAACATCAGTCCAGCCGTCGCATTGCAAGTGTAGAAAATATAATGCCTTTAAATCATCACTGATTTCTTTATTCATCTCTTTATATACTTTTTCTAGATATTTAGTTGCAATAGACTTTCTATTTGGCAATTTAAAATTTAATTTTTCAAAAAATTTTACCCACAATGGGTGTTCTACCATTGCTAGAGGTGTTCCCGTGATTAATAGAGCCTTCGCAAACTCTTCTATTAAATCTCTAATATTCTCGGTCGATGTGTTCTCCGAGTTCAATGATGTGGTTGTGGATTCTGGTGTTAAGTTGGATTGTGACTTATTGATATCGTTTATTTGTTTTTTTACGGCTTGTGGGCATTTAAAGCAGGTCAGAAGATGTTGCTGCATTTTTATTACATGCCCCTTTTTATAATGCTTTTCACAAAAAGAGCACTTTACGGAATTGTCTGGTAATTGATGATAGTGCCTCCATATAGTATGATTTGATCTTCCCATGACGCTAAAACTACAAATATTTTTCATGAAGCAAGCACTTTAGTAATAAATAAGTTTATTTGTAACTTATTTTACAACCATTTTTTACAAGATTTCTTATTTCTTGTTGTATATCAAAAATATGCAGAGGGTATTAAACATTTATTACTTTTACTCGGAATATCTGATTGGTACACAAAAAAAAAGAAAGACTGACTTACCTTACAAGTAGCAGTAAATTATCACACACTTAATACTAATAACTGCATAAATTGGTTAACCAGAACTAGAATACAACAAACAATGGACACAAATAGAATGCACGTGCGGTAACTGCAACTGACACAGGACGACTAACAACAAAATGGCGGCACGGTGTGTTGCCTGGACGCATCCCTCGTCCCGCACCTCTTACTCACTCACTCGGTACAAGCATTTTTTCCCGCTGCGGCGTAATTCGTAACATTTAACATTTAAACATGGTTTTGTAAAATAAACATATTTAAAAAAAAGTATGCAAATTCATAAAATAACACCTTTAAATAATTAATCTTAACTAAACTCAACAAGTTAGACCAATTGATTTACAAGATTTATGTTAGCTTCCAATGCTAACATAAATCTTGTAAATCAATTTTGGTACAAAAATTTATGCCCAGATAAATGTCCAAGGACAGAAATTTTTCGGGGCTTATTAGGAATTTTCCCAATTTGCCAAAAATGCCCGGGCATTTGCCCATCTCCTCATATCACCATTAATAAATTACTAGGTATATCAAACTTAGTAGTGTCTTAAAATTTGGTCGATTTTCCATTCATTTTATATTACATATTTAAAATATAGCTACAAGAAGATGATTTTTTTTAATTTCTCAGGTTTTTTTTTCAATTGAAAGTGACGAGCACCCAATTCTATCCACATACTCTATATTTTTTCGCTAACATACCTAAATCCTTAGCTTAAATTAATGATTACGCTTAGGAATTTCACTGTAAGGCATTGAAGTAATATGATATAAGTGTGTGTCTACACTTGTGATATTGCATCGGACTGGCTTTGTCCTATTGCTATCGCTCGCGCGCTCATGTGTGCGTCCGACGAAAATGATCGTGCGACCGTGCGTTTAGACATACTCATATCGGAATGTCCTATAGAAGGTCGTGTGATCATGTGATGCGACCGAAATGTCTAGTTTTCGCCGTGCCATTATCGACGCATCGTATAGATCGGACGATCGTCCGATCAAACATCCTAATCAGTACTAAGTGTCCTAATGGCACTCGCGCGAACAAGGGGCTGCTCGGCTCGACTGCCTGCCATTAGGGATTAATGTACATATACTAAATTACAGATGAAATCAAATGTTTCTGTTGGCATTGACAAATATTCGTAAAAATTTTCTTCGTTTAGCCGTACGTCGAATTACTGATGTTGAAATTCATCGTACTGATTTATGTTTTTATACAGTATATTAGGTGGTATACGTTTTCTTTTTTAATGCTATTCACTATTAAAGAAATATTGCTCCCCAGAAAAAAACCGTGCATCTCTGTTAAGAGCCATTGTGAGAGTGATCACATCGCTCCAAAATAGGACACACGATTTAAAATCGCGAGAGCGGATTCATCGGACGATGAAATCGACGGCGCCATAGTGTGTCATATTTCTTTTGTTACTTTAACAAAAGAAACACCCTATGTAGTCATATATGAGGCATAGTTTTCCTTGATTGAGAGACTTTTAGTAAGCAATATTATGTTGCATTTTAACAAATTTCAGTGCTAGCGTCAGGGAACGAAATCTGGTTGTTTGCCTCCTATGAAACTTAAGGCAAGCGTTTCAGCTTTTGATCTGCCATGGGATAGATAGATAGGTAGATAATATTTTATTGTACGCCAAAAATTATATAAATATGAACAAAAAAGGAGATAAAAGAAATGTGTTACAATGAGCGGTTTTCTCGCTCAAAACGAACTCTTCCAGACAACTCCTCCGTAACGGGACACAATATTTTTTTTTTCAAAAAGAATATTAACAATGCTATAAACATTACTAATATTCCCCTTAACCACTCGTGGTAAGCTTAAATTGCTTGTGTTACGAGTGGTTCACGCCAGTAGTCGAAAGGCGGATTCGAACCCATGACCGTTTTGAGTTCGCGGTCAGCGCCCTGCCATTAGGCTACTGTCGCTTCGTAGTATTTGTGCTTGATAGCCCCGAAATCAGAAAAGGACACTAACACCTACATGATTATTTGCTTTTAATTTTAGGACTTGATCCAGCCCAGCCCTGTTTTCGCACTAACAGTCTAGCCGAGCGTTTGGACGCTACCGACGCCGACTTCGTTGACGTGATTCACACGAACGGACGGCTTTTAAAGAGGATCGGTTTTGGATTACCCGAACCTACAGGTACCTATTGATTTCAAATCTAAATTCAATAAAATAAAAAAGGCCTCTTTGGTTTTCTTGCTGGCCCTTCCTAAGGTTCCTAATTTCTGAAACAGGAGTTTAATGATAATCAATACCGAATTAAAGTAACCAATTCTCTTCTATACTGTAGTTTCTTCACAATGTGGTGGCAACACTAAAACACAAAGCTAAAATTGTTGGATAGTTCGCCAAAATATAAAACATAAATAATAAAATAATAATGTCCTCCAGACCGAATTTAGGCCACGGCGGCCTGCTTGAGGCAGGCCATCCACCGAAGGCTAGCCATCAGCGCAATCAAATTATAGTGCCAAGCGTATGCGCAAGCACAAGTACACTCTCTATTCTCTCACTCTCATAACCTGATAGGACGGTAAACCAACACGACCGGAGAGAGATCAGGCGCAGGACCAACGGCTTTACGTGTTTTCCGAGACACGGGGGTGAGACATCGACCGACAACAACTTCCTGACTCCGGGTAGCAACTGAGAAATTCTTGACAGAAAAACTCAATAATTGAACAATAAATATAGGAAAAACAATAAATATAGGTTATAGGGTTTTTTTATAGAAGAGGGGGTAAACGAGCATGCGGCTCACCTGATATTAAGTGACTACCGCCGCCCATGATCAACCGCAACACCAGGGGAATTGCAGGTGCGTTGCCGGCCCTTTAGAAAGGAGTAAGCTCTTTTCTTGAAGGTCCCCAGGTCGTATCGGTCCGGAAAAATCGCTGGTGGTAAACTATTCCACAGAGAGGTTGTACGCGGAAGAAAAGCCCTCTTGAAACGTACAGTGGTGGACCGCCAAGCATCCAGATGGTGTGGATGGTATCGGGACGTTTGCCGCGTAGTGCGTTCACGAAATTTGGCGGCTGGGATTAATCTGAACAATTCCTCAGAGCACTCTCCATGGTATATGCGAAAGAAAATGCAAAGTGATGCAACATCTCTTCGCAGTGCCAGTGAATCGAGCCGATCGGAAAGCACTCGGTCGTCGACGATTCGAGCCGCTCTGCGCTGGATGCGGTCAAGTGGAAGGAGCTGGTACTGGGGAGCCCCAGCCCAGAGATGGGAACAGTATTCCATGTGCGGCCGAACCTGCGCCTTGTAAAGTTGCAGGCGGTGTGCCGGCATGAAATACTGTCCGCTCTGCTGAGCACGCCAAGCTTTTTAGAGGCCAATTTGGCCTTCTCTTCCAAGTGACCACGAAACTGCACGTCACTCGATATGTCGACGCCGAGGATTCCGATACTGGCTGAGGCAACAAGGGGAGTGCCTTGAAACTGAGGAGATACGACAAAGGGATTCTTTTTAGCGGTTAACGCGCAAACTTGTGTCTTCTGGGGGTTAAACTGGACTAGATTTAGTCGCCCCCAATCCGAGACTCTCGACTTCAGACACAAGTTTGTCCCGACACTCGGAGACGTTTTCCCGAGAAATATTGGTTCGGCCGGTGTAAAAAGCATCACCAGTACTATCATCTGCATAGCAATGAATGTTACGGGTTTGCAACATATCATTTATATGCAGAAGAAACAGCGTTGGCGATAGCACGCAGCCTTGTGGAACACCAGCATTAATAGGCTTGCAATCGGAGCTTGCACCGTCTATAACGACCTTGATGCCCCGATCTGCAAGAAAGCTCGTGGTCCAATCACACAATTTCTCGGGAAGCCCATAGGATGGGAGCTTCGAAAGAAGCGCTTTGTGCCAAACCCGATCGAAGGCCTTCGCAATGTCCAAACTAACGGCCAATGCCTCCCCCTTGGACTCTACTGCCTCCGCTCATCTGTGAGTTAGGTAGACCAGAAGATCACCAGCTGACTGACCACGGCGAAAACCGTATTGGCGGTCACTAATCAGCTGGTGATCCTCAAGGTACCTCATGAGCTGGCAGTTTACAATGGACTCCATTGTTTTGGAGAACAAGGAGGTGATGGCGATAGGCCGGTAGTTGGACGGGTCTGAGCGGTCGCCTTTTTTAGGGATCGGGTGGACGAAAGCCGTCTTCCATGATTTTGGGACTACGCCTAGGGAGTAGGAGTACCGGAAAAGACGCGTTAAAACCGGTGCCAACTCGGGAGCACACGTCCTCAGTACAATTGGGGGGGTTCCGTGAGGCCCACTCGACTTGTGGATGTCCAGGGAGAGGAGTGCTTTGCGAACCGAGCGCTGTGTGAACTGCACTTCCGGCATGGAGCACTCGCACCGCGGGATGGTCGGCGGCGTACTCCCCCCGTCATCGAGAGTCGAGTTGGACGCAAAGAAAGAGCCTAGAAGATCGGCTTTCTCTTTTGCGGTATGGGCCAGTGAGTCGTCCTCCCTGTGCAGAGATGGAAGAGATGGCTAACAGAAATTTCCCTGGACAGCCTTGACGAGAGACCAGAATGCACGGGTTCCAGAAGTTGCAATGAAGACGAAGAGTGTAAGAATAACATAATACGTAGGTAATTTGTAAATAGTGAGAAAGTTTAAACGATCTATTGTTCTCTGGAAATGTGTTGTAGCAATATCTAATACTATAATTCAGCAAAATTTGAAAACGCGTTAAATTCCACAACCAATTGTGACTTCTGTTAAAAAAATTTTTATGGAATTCTTTTTATGAATAATTTCACAAGTAGATAACTTTTTAAGAACTACTTTTACAATATCAATGAATGCGCTATATCAGGCCACGCCTAAAAGAGTGCCGTTTAACTTAAATCTCTCAGTATTGCATTCTCGAACTATCGAACACAAATGCCTGTGCAATATCGAAACAAGAAAGCAACACTACCCTTGCCGGCTACACTGCCGTGAGCGGTATAATCATGTTGTTCATCTATTAGAAGAAAATTACCCAGACAACAGTTAGGGAGCACAGTAATATGGCATTTTCCTCGGTCATGTTAAATGAAAGTGGCTATGTGTGTATAAAGAAGTGAAAGTTTGTTGAGATTCGAATCATGGAACGCGACCGAGAAAGAGTGCTGATTACGTACACACATGCCGCCAAAGCTCAATACTTGACGTTATTGTGCCTATGCATATGTTATGGAAATTTTAGAAAAAATTATGGCGAAGTAACATTAATTTGTGTTTAACAAAGTATCTCAAGTCATCTCTTACGAATCAGTTTCAAATGATTGTCTGTACGTAGGTCATGCAGATTTTTATCCCAACGGCGGTATGAAGCAGCCGGGCTGTTACAACACGTCCAATTCAATATGGGCGCGCATCGTGTCCATACCGGTCGCAAGTGAGTATAATACGAGTACATCACATAAAGAAAATAGTCTACAGTTAGCTAAAAGCATTATTATTATAAATAATAATAATTTTATTTCAGGTACAAACTCCATACTTTGTTAGTAATAAATAATATAAATTTTAAATTAATGTTAGTAAATATACAACTAAAAACGACAATGCTTATTTTATATTTTTTTATTAAGTCTGCAGTTTTGAGTGATAATGCTACTTTGTGGCGTATAATGGCTGCGTGAGTCGGCTGGACTGTGGAAGGACCGCGTACCTGCCTCCCTACAGCCTACCAAAAGTCCACTGTTAAGCACGAGGCTCTCTTTTAAATAGCTTCAGTTTCCCTTCGTCGCCTCTTATGACACGAAAGGGATGATGGTAGCGGATTCTCTTACATCGCCACCACACTGGTAATCTGGGGATGGCCACGCTTATACAAAACACTAGCGTGAAACGGCAGCCTACCTATACCTTTAGATATATATTTTTCACTGGTAACGATACATTCTATTTTATATCCTCGGTCATAACGTATCAGTCTGTTTATAACAAAGTTGAGTCCCAAAACTAGAACGTTGTTTATTCGGACACGGCTGTACCGATTTAAATTAATCTTCTTTTAATAAATTATAAATTATTTAAGGGGGATATTTAATTATAATTTATAAATGGGACCACCATTTACATTTAATAGGTAAAAAGGTTTTAATGTTACTATTTCGACGCATTCTAGTTCTTACTTTGAACTTGTGGTATTCCTTAGACTACTTGAAAGGGTTTAGTATTAAACATTAACAAAAAGTTAAAGCGATTTCAAAAGCAAAGGAAGTGTAAGGAAAAATTAAAGGCCCAAGTTTATTCATCATGCCCTAAATCACTATTGTGTGCACATTGTTTTTTGTTTGTTTTTTAGTCGATTTAGAGATGCGCTCGTGAAAAAATGTATCGATATACATCGTATTGATAGTTTTATACAGTATCTATATATCGATATAGCGTCATGTTTTGCATGATGCGGTACGGTTGGACGACGAAAAAAAAAATGACAACAGCGCGGGAATACTTTTGTTGCTTAATGTTTTGTCCATTAAATACAACATTTTAACATAATTATATCGAAATTGATACGAATTCGATACTCCAAAATAAATATGGAATATTGCTTTATCGCGATTTAATAATACGAAGATATATATATCGACATTTTATTGAGAAAATATCAATATTTCAATATATAGATATTTTTTATCAAAGCCTAATTCGGTTTTACTATTTTTATATTTACTGTGTCTAACTTTTATTTAGGTTACCTAACTTTTTGTATTTTCTTATTGCTTTCCATTCATACATTAATAACCAATCAAAATCTACTGCCGAATTAGGACTTTCCCATATATTACCTTATATCCTCCACATTTGGGCATGTTACCAACCCACGTTTAGTGGGTTGCTTACGGCAGTTTTTTCTTTGATTTGTTATCAAGAAAATGCTTCCTGCTATACACGTCTTTTTGTTTTAGGACTTCAGCAAGCGATATGCAGTCATGGACGTTCATATCTTCTCTTCACCGAGTCTTTAATCAACAATAATTGCTCGTTTAGGGGTCATCGCTGGAATTTGACTTACGAAGGGTACCTACATGCAAAAGTTTTTGTTGAACTAACTATTGAAATAACTATTACGTATTATTATATAATTTAATCGTGGTAGAGTAATGCTACAGCTATATTATAGTTGTAGCACGAATGGGTCGGCTCGATCGGGGTAAAACCTTGCTCTCAGAGAATACCTACTAGCGTAAAATAGCAGCGTAATGTTGCTGTGTTTCGTATGATGAGTGTAGAGAACCGGAGAATCTTTTTACTGGAAACGAGGCATTCCATCTTAGTCCTCAGGGGTGACAACGCATCTGCATTAGAATTCTTAATCGAGGATAGATAGAGTAGATGTATCAGGTGGGCTGTGTGCTCGCTTGTCACCTTCATTCTATAATGTTTGTTTATAGTGTTGCTAATTAACTTTGTATTTATCTTACTACCCATTAATATTTCGTCATGTCTCGGGTTGAATGGCAGAGAACGCCAAAAGGCAGCCTTAAGAGAAAAACCTTTTTGCACACAGACACCGAGGTGATTACGTTTCATGTTTTGTTTTTGAGCATTTGGCAAAGAAGGAAAATTATATTTTTCTTTAAATATTGCATGTTAAGTAGCTTAAAACAATTCTTAAGAGCCAATTAAGAGCTAGACGTAGAATACACTAAGTATTATTTTGCATGTCGATTCTTATTATTAAATTAATTTAAACATGGTTTTATTAATATTTAACATCGTAATGTGAAATAAGAAAATATCATCGCCATAATCTACATCTTTACGGCATTGTCTTGAATACTCTCTTAATATTTTTGTTATAATATCTAGTTTTAAAATGCAACGAAAAATTTGCTATTTGCACTCAAAAACCATGAACGAACAATTTCTTTAACTTCTGACGAACAATGCGGTACAATACGATTTTTTGCTTTTGTTTATTTTCAGTGTCAATGCGTCTTTAGAAGCAGCTTGCGACCGAATAGCGTCCTGTTCAGAAATGGGGATACGAGCAGCGGGTGGAGACGGCTTGGCCAGAGCCATTGGTGCTTACTTCGTGCTGACTACAGACAAGGAACCTTATTGTCGTAAGTATTTTTACTTACTTTTGTTTGTGTAAAATATATCATAGGATAATAGTACTTATAATAAGCATAGTACTTAAATATTATGATATTTTATACGTATTAGAGCCACGCTAAAGCTATATATTGGTTGTAGCACAAAGGGTTCCGCTCGACTGGGGTAGGACCACGATAGAATTAATATATACTCACATTCTCATAGAATACCAGCGTGTAATAGCAGTTTAATGCTGCTGTGTTTCGTATGGCGAGTGTAGAGAACCGGAGACCACTCTTACTGGAAACGAGGCATTTCATATTAGTCCTCAGGGTGACAACGCATTTGTAGTTTGATTCTTAACTGATGATAAATGTTAATGTCTATGATCACAGTATCCATTTATCATCAGGTGGATTGTGTGCTCGTTTGTTATTCTTAATCTATAAGAAAATATGCTATTAAAGGTACGAAATCGGTACCGCTAGGACTTTAACCTGAATCGTAGGCGTGTTTTACTATAAATAAATTGCTTATGGACTCGCATCACATCAAGACCAGGGACAATGATTTGTAGACCATACAAATGGTTGTTTCATTAGTTCTTAGTTTATCAGTTAATGTATCGTAGTTTTTTAGCCACAGACCTAACGAACCGTCAATTTTATAAAGATAATGTATGTAATAAGAAATATACCTAAGACCTGCGTCATTGAAAATTAGAATACAAATTTATTCTTACTTTTAATAAAAGATTGTTTTTGAAAAGTGAAGAAGATGTACATAAAGCATAAAATATAACTTCGTTCATCTATACTCTATACAATATTAAAAAAAAAAATAACCTATCCGAAGGGGCCGATCGGAATCGTATTGACATAATCGTAAATCACAGAGGAGTGATATGATTTATTTATTTATTTATTTTATTTCATTGCAGCTACAGAGTGGGAACGTCGTCATCCACTGCCGGAATTGTTGCATGACCTTCGTAAAGGCTTTCGTTTGGACCGATCGATAAAACCAGCTGCCAACGTAACCGAGGGATATGCCAATCCAGATAGAACAAAGCAAGTAACTACCACCACTGAGACAAGTTGGTTCAGGAAGTGGTTTGGTTGAAGGCGTCACTATTGTACTCGACTCGACTCTTTGATATTATGTGAATTACTTATAATAAAAAAGTGACTGTAGTTTATTTATTATTTATTGATATATGATATAAAATAAACTTTAGTATCTACTTTTGTTGTTTTTATTGACCTTTCAAGTGACAGTTAATTGTTTTAAAAAAAGAGAATATAATCACTACGTTTTAGTTATGACTTAATTATATCGCATATTTACGAATTCATAATATATTAAATTTGTTAAAAATCTTATCCATTTGTTAAAAATAACAGGGAAGTTGATTCTTATGTCACATAAACCGCAGTCGAATTACCGTCAATATTCCGAACCTTTTAATAGATTTTTCATGGGAATACTAGTAAATGACGTCATTCGATTAAATGCTTGGTATATTTTAATAATAAATTAATTGTTACTTGGTATATTTTAATAATAAAGTAATTTTACAAAGAACGAAAAACCGATCAAGTATTAAGACCACAGAAATCTAAATAATAAGGCACCTTGTATAAATATCTAAAGCAGTTACTCAAAGTGGCCACCTCTAGTTTGTAGGCAAGCTAAATCTCTTTGCAGTACTCAAAGTGGCCATCTCCAGCTTGTAGGCAAGATATATCTCTTTGCAGTACTCAAAGTGGCCACCTCCAGCTTGTAGGCAAGCTAAATCTCTTTGCAGTACTCAAAGTGGCCACCTCCAGCTTGTAGGCAAGATATATCTCTTTGCAGTACTCAAAGTGGCCACCTCCAGCTTGTAGGCAAGCTAAATCTCTTTGCAGTACTCAAAGTGGCCACCTCCAGCTTGTAAGCAAGCTAAATCTCTTTGTGCCACCTTAGTTCATGAGCGCCTAATTATTTGTAAATCAGATTTTATTTCTTCGGCGACTGAAATTATTCTTGTGAGGAATTCTCCTTTGGTGTTTGGAACTGAGGCGAACCCTACCACCACCCACCTTTTACTTCATATAAAATAATCAATAATATATAAATCTCCACAAAAAATAATCCAAAGGTGTCTAATGGGGTAAGCGACGTGGCCACGTTACAAGATCACCGCGACCAATCAACGGCGAATGGTTGTTATTTAAGTAGTCTCCCATTGCTCTAGAAAAGTTCGCCAGGTGCACCATCAAGCTGAACCCACATACGTTGATAGTACGACAAAGGTAGCAGCTCCACAAGGCTCAGCAAACTGTGTCTCTAAGAACTCCAGAAATCTAGTGCCGTTTAATGGAAGAGGTAATTCCTACGACCCTACCAAACGATAGTCGATTATGCCTGCGCATACATTCACCGAAAATTAAAAAAAACAATAATTCTTAAAATAATAAACATACAGCTGTAAACTTAATGTTAAATTATAGCTAAGCTCAAAAATCTGTCAAAAAAAATGAAACGTGCAATCGGGGTTGTTTTTGTAGTAATTTACAATAATTTGCCGATTAGCATAACTTTTTGGTATTTGTTTGAACTTAAATATTTTTTTAAAGTTACGAGTACGTAAACAATTTTTTTGCTATTGTAAACGATAGACAATATTGTTGCCCTCCGAATGAGCCAATTTTTATTTCAGTAAGACCAAAACTTTGAGAGATATGAATTTTTTTGTAAACAAGTAGAGATTTATCTCAAGAAAAAAACAAAATGGCTGTCACATAGAGGAGGAGGGGATTAGACCTCTGAGTGTAGTGTATTTGTGTATTAAATATAAGTACCTAGAATATCGCTAGTCTGTCACTGGACACACTATATATATATATATATTTTTTTTTTTTTTTTTTTTTTTATTTTTTTTTTTTTTTTACAATGCGTGAGTTATTTACATGCACAGGTGCACGCTCTATACCCTGACTCAAGGAGATCAAGCGCAGAGAAAAAGTTACACTATAAGCAATTTCCAACGTCAAGACTTGTTGCTAACCATACCGTCCGGAGTATAACGTGGCAGTAAAACAACAGACTGTGTTGTCTTGGTTATAAAGAGATTACAATCTGGTGGACTGTAAATTTGTTTGTTACTTTTGTTTTATAAATTTAAAGCCAAACAATACAATGCGCGAGGCACAACACTTTAAGGAGACGCAGAGGAAGTTTGCTGAGCGTTACGGTTCTCTATTATTATTAAATTATAGCAGTTTAGAGATAAGCATATATTTCAAGCAAATATTATAAATAAAATATTGACTTGTATAAGAAATAACGACAAAAAGTTTTAGATGAAGAATTGCTCGTTATTCAAAGCTCCGGAAACTTCTTTGTGTGTGGTTCCTTTTTTGACAATAGTTATAAGCGTGCAAAAGCTCAATATTGTAGCATAATGCTATGCTGATTACAGCTTCAGAGAAATCTATCCCGCCAAATACATCACCCCATTTCATCCCGTGGGTATCGCAAGAGGCAAGTATGTGAAAGATTTCATGGTTGTAGATAGTTGGCGGTCTAAACATCCCGTTTATGACAGACGCAAATTTATCATTCCAGCGACGGGAAGCAGCGTTAAAGGTATGAGAGCGGGTGTCGCCCATATTCAGCATTGGGGCTTTTATAAGCTGATGATGAAGCAGAATACATTATTCTCGTTAATCACTCCGATAGAAACCATTAGCCTAATTTTTGTGTTGGTTAAGGGATGGTTGTGATAGTTTTAAGAGAATGTAGGCGTCTATAGAGCACAGCATTCATTTACCATCAGGTCGTCTGTGCTCATTTGTTACTATTACCACAAAATAAATAATAGTTCTTACTTCCGTAAAAACAATTAATGAACCTACGGCGAAAGTTTTTGGTTTTAATTTTATGTCGTGTATCTACTTTTTTTATATAGGATAGTGTTACAAACGAGCACACAGTCCACCTGATGGTAAGTGGTTGCTGTGGCCCATAGACATCTACATCTATCCTCGATTACAAATCAAAATGCAGATGCGTTGTCACCTAAGATGTAAGGACTAAGATGAAATGCCTCGTTTCCAGTAAAAAGGGTTTCCGGTTCTCTACACTCACCATACGAAACACAGCAGCATTAAGCTACTATTTCACGCTGGTATTCTGTGAGAGCGTGGTCCTTTCCCGGTCGAGCCGACTCATTCGTGCTACAACTATACTATTATAACTGCAGCATGGCTCTACCACGTAAATAGTATTCTTCATAGTACATACGCATTACATAAGAATATAAGCATTACATCGCAGAACATAAGCATTACAGCGATAACGCTTATGTTGTTTTTTTATTACGATAAATATAATCACTACATTTGATACCATCATTAAATATCGACTACTGGAGACTACGGAACACGACTAACGACTATCTGCAGTGTATTAATTCGGTCCACATATTTGCCCTGTGGAACCCCTATCTCATGTGACAAATATTGGAGAGGAAATACGAACAATATAAGATTAAATACGATATATATATATATATATATATATATATATATATATATATATATATATATTCTTGAATAAGGGTTTTTAATAATAAAGTTATATGTTGCTCACGCGTGTCTCGAGTAAGAAAGAATTAGTAACAGCATGTTGCAAGCCTGGTTTCTTTTAGAAGAAACTGGTTCAGTCACCAACTAAAGTGTCTTAGTAAAGTACATGGTTGAATTATATTTCTTAATGACGATAACATCATGACAATATTATGGTGGTATGGTGGCAGTATGGTGATTACTTATGTTATAGAGTACTACGTTCGGAAACCACTTTTATTGCATAATAACGAATATTAAAATATTTTAAAACCCCCGAAAAAAAAAGAGCTGATGATCTTAAAAGGCTGTAAATATTTTCTTGAATCATAGCTAAGAGCACTCTCGATCGAGTCACCTTTAAAAAAAAACTTAATCTAAATCGGTTCATCGTTTGGAAGCTACGATGCCATAGACAGACACACATAAATATACAGATCCCTTCTGTTTTCTTTTAGTAGTAGTAGTTTTGTACGTGGTAGGTAGGAATAAGTCGGCTCGACCGGGGTAGGATAACACTCTCACAGAATACTAGCGTAGTATGTGACAAAACTCGCGATACCATTCATACCATTTGGATGACTGGCAGTCCACCACTGTGCGATTTAAAAGAAGTTTTGTTCCTCGCACAACTTTCTTGTGGAAACGACTACCACCAGAGATTTTTCCGGACCGATACAACTTAAGGACCTTCAAGAAAAGAGCCTACGCCTTTTTAAAAGGCTTGCAACGCATTTGCAATTTCCCTGGTGTTGCGGTTGTTCATGGGCGACGGTGGTCACATACCGTCAGGTGAGCCGCATGCTCGTTTACCCCCTCTCCTATAAAAAAATTGTAGCTTAATGTTGCTGTGTTTCGTATGGTGAGTGTAGCGAATCAGTGACTTTAAATAATTAGAAAAGAGGCATTCTATCAGAGTCCTTAGGGGGGACTATCCATCTGCATGTTTATTCTTAATCTGGAATGGATGTAGCTGAATATAGGCCACAGACTCTACTTACCATCAGGTAGACTGTTCGCTCGTTTTGCGCCCTTATTATATAAAATAAAAATAAATATTATTAAGCTCTAATATTATTTTAATTTTGGTGTTACCTAATTTAAAAATGACACATCGAATATACCTATACAACTGATCAAAATTTACGCTTATTTCTTTGTCGGTTCCTTCCTTAATAGAAGAATTAAATATTATATTATTATTAGCTACTAGTAAATTTTGAAAACCACTTTTATATTTTTAAGATAGACCAATGTTTCTTGAAAACCATTACTGTTGTTAGGCCATAGATGGTCAATAAATTAGCCTAGCACAATTCTATCATTCTTGCCTTCAAAAGTCTCAAATTATAGTGTCAATGGAAGACTGACGTAGGTAAAAAATTCCAATCTCACAATTTCTATTTTATATGTATTCTTTTTTGCATTCCTTAAACCGCAAGAATACTAATGGCAGTCTGCTTTGAGGCATTCTCTGAGTCAGAGTGGTGTGAGTTTGACGTAGATAGTAGTATATGATAAAAAGTTAATTAACTGCGTAATATACACATTACCAAATATAATATATTATATGTATATACATACATATTAGTTAGTACATACAAAACTATGTAAGTACATTTTATGTACAATTTTTAGATACGTGTAAGCTATCAAAATAACCTTGCCCCTATTATTACCTTTCATGAGTAGTGTTGCTATGTCGCGAATTCACTCACTAATAAATTAATTTCACTAATTTCAATAGATCCATAAAAATTGTGACATATTAATAACCGAATCAGAATATGGTTCATGTTATTATTTCAACTTATTGTAACCTAGTTAATAAAGTGTTTTTATCACAACATTGAAAAACGCATTATAAATATCTACAATATGACCGCACAGTATACAAAGGTTCGATACACTGATAAGATCTAATGAGTCCAGTCGAGATACGGAGCCCAACAGATTGTATGTTGTGTGTTAAACTGATATGGTGGTAAGAATGTGCAAAAGAACGTATTTGTTAGAAAATTTATTCTACAACGTAGGATACCCGTGCACTGATTATGTTGCTCTCCATCACTGTTACCGTTCCAACTTATCAAAAATCCACTGATGAACATCCGGAGGCTCGGACACTCATGTCATTATTTTTTTATTAATTACAGCCTGTCAAAAGTACATTGTTAAAATTAAGCCTTTCGATAGATTTCCGTATAGGAGAAATATTTGCGAAGATCATCCGGAATGAATAAAATGAAAATATACTGAAAATGTATTTTCTCCTGATTTCTAATTAAGCATGTATTGTATCATCATTTTAAGGAGGCAACGACTCTGGACGATTTCTAAGAAGAACAAGATAACGTTAGCCTTCATTCCGTGCACTGGGAGCTAGAAGAAGTCAGAGTATTTGTAAACGTTTGCAGCGAGGAATGCTGGTATCGTCACATCGGCCACCCCCATAGATTGCCTCATATTGCGGATATTTGCCATAGTTGCCACGCTTGTCAGTGTTGGCTCCCTCAGACGCTGAACTCTGGTTTGTTCCGCTCCGTCACCTTTTACGACACCCATGGGACGATTTAAAGTACTTAGTAAATATTCTTATCTTTCACCGCTATTACAAGTAACATTTTGTTGCTACTTTCGATTATACGTACTATATCAGTGTGCGCTGTGTGCAGAAAATGTTGGAGAAGAAGTTGAAAGTCATTTCCAAATCCGTTTTTGGAAGAAAACGGTTCTTGGATTTTAGTAACAATTTCTGTAATATACCAATTTTTTTTTAGGATAGGATGACAAACGAGCACACAGTCCACCTGATGGTAAGAGGCTGCTGTGGTCCATAGACATCTACATCTATCCTCGATTACGAATCAAAAAACAGATGCGTTGTCATCCGTGAGGACTTGGATGGAATGTCTCGTTTCCAGTAAAGAGGGTCTCCGATTCTCTACACTCACCATACGAAACACAGCAGCGTTGAGCTACTATTTGACGCTGGTATTAAAAACTACTTCTTCTTAAACCCTAGGACGTTTAACTGCGTATAAAAAGGCGACTATTTTAACCATGTTTCGATTTCTGAGCTGAGCTGCGCTTTGCTTTGCGCTTTGCGCTTTGCTGAGCTTTTACATTTTCAAGTCTTGAGCTATCAGGATGTTAGTCAAGAATCGATTTCAAAATTTTTACCGAGCGCTAACAGACAAACTGAGAATAAAGCGGGTTGATAAAAACGTTTTCATTTACCGAAACTATAAACGAAGATTAGTAAATATATATATACAGAAACAGAAACTTTTTTATTCAATGTAGATTATAACAATACTTATTGAAAGTCACTTTTTTTATTTACCACTGGTTCGCAAAAAAAAACCTCTGTCCTGGGAAGAACCAGCAAGAAACCCAGCGGGACTATTTTTTTTCCAATAATAACTTACAATCATGTTTACAATTAGCAACACAAGACAAATTAGAAATAGCTTGGTAGCGATCACCCTTCCCAGGGGTTATTATCATCCATAAATTCCTCCCTTTTTATACAAACTTAGTTTAATAACATTTTTGAACTTTGTGTATGATAAACTTTGTATATTTTCTGGGATTTTGTTGTAAAAGCGTATACATCGCCCCAAGAATGAATTACTGACTCGGTGGAGTCGAGTAACTGGTACTACTAGCTTGTGTCTGCTCCTAGTATTTACAGAATGAATATCACTTATTTTCGCAAAACTACTTTTATTTTTGTGTACGTACTTTACATTTTCATAAATGTGTTGAGAGGCCAGAGTTAAAATATTAATTTCCTTAAATTTTTATCTCAGTGACTCTTTTGGTTTTAAATTATATATTGCTCTAATGGACTGTGATGGACCGTAGTGATAGTAATAGTAATTGACACTATGTCGCAGGGGAATAAACGATACCGTGATATTGTTATGGTAACGGTTCTGTTTTGTCGATTGGTAATTTTAGCGCAGTTTACAGAGCAGTCTGTTATCTTAATTTCTAATAAAAATGTTTTTTAATAGAAATTAAATAAAAATATAATCAACATCAATACCAAAATTATTTTACTACATTAAAATTTTAAAGTTGGATAATGGGAAATACAGAGAGTAACGTAACGAGTGGCGTAAAGAAGCAGGCGGGGACGTCCGATCAGAAACTTTACAAGCTTATTAATTTAAAAGGTATTATTCTTCATTTAAGTTACACATATTTAGAAATGTGAATGCCTCGTTGGTCTAGTGATTGTAGTAATGCGACTGCTGATCATGAGGTCCTGGGTTCGAATCCCGGGTCGGGCCAAAAAATTAATAATTGAGTTTTTTCGTCAATAAATTCTTAGTAGTTGCCCGGAGTCAGGAAGTTGGCGGTTGCGCCCTCCTTTCTGCCAAGGAGGGTCGCGTTCGTGTACGGCTTAGAGATCTCTAGTCAGATCGTTAAGCCATTTCCTAAAAGGCGGTGTTTAGTGGGTAAAAGTCTCCACATAACCACGCAGCCGGCTGCGTGGTATGCTATGAGCATTCACCGCCTCCCTCCCCCGCTTTCCGGAGGGTTGCCCATATTTGCTTCGGGCGCAAAAAAAAAGAAAAAAAAGAAGTTGGCGGTGTCTCACCCCCGTGCCTCGGAAAGCACGTAAAGCCGTTGGTCCTGCGCCTGATCTCTCTACGGTTGTGTCGGTTTACCGTCCCATCGGATTATGAGAGTGAGGGAATAGAGAGTGCACCTGTGCTTGTGCATACACTTGGACACTATAATCTTATCCTGCGCCGATGGCTAGTCTCCGTTGAGGCAGGCCGCCGTGGCCGAAATTCGGTCTGGAGGACATTATTATTATTATTATTATTATTTAGAAATGTATTAAAGATAAACAGAAGGGTAAACAGGAACTACGGACTTCCTTCTAGGGCGTTCTTTCACAACTCGGTTATTCGGTCTTGCAGTATAAATTTCCTTCTTTACTTTCCTCATTTATTCTTTCTACAAGTTACAAATAGTCATATTATGTACTAAGAAGTGCAATACGTTCTCTATATAATTATATATAATAGAATTGTAAAATTTCTACAGTAAATTACAGCCTACGCTACGCATACTTAACAAAAATTACTCGCACACTTTATGTCACTCTACAAACAAAGAAAAAAGAAATCTAAAAGTTGTAAAAATTGATTGAAATAGTACTACCAAACCTTAAATATACATTGATGTAAGGTAAAGAGTATTTTTGATTAAAGGTGGAGGTCTTCTGGTAGACATGATGAAGAGGGCCGTCCAGAACAAGCAATACGCAGAGATCGACCACGCGATTAAAACCAAAGTGGAACCCTTCCTGTACAATAAGGGAAACGGTCGTTACATACCTATATCACATCTCGTTTTGTTTCGGAATAAAGAAAGGCCCCGGCACAAATTGGTAAATTAGCAACAATTTATAAAAATCGAAAATAGTTTGCTTGTGGGTATAACAAATTAAAACATAGTTTACAAAGCCAGGTATAATATAGTGCCCAAACATTAGCGAAATAAAAGAATTAGCTATAGTTATTTTATCGTCAGCCTTGGTATAATTCATGCTATCATCATAAGAAAAAGTGTTAAAATTAAAAAAAATTGTGCAACCGACTTCAATATCCTATACCTTTAAACGAGCAATTCTTGTATATATATATAATCGGAATCTCGGAAACGGCTCCAACGATTTTCACAAATTTAGTGTCCAGAGAGTTTCGGGGGCAATAAATCGATGTAGCTGGTATTTATTTTTAGAATATGTCTTTTTGTACGTGTTTTCAGGCAATGAAAAACTGCTACAATATAAGAAGGTAAATTTTGACACTTTGTTAATGATCGTAATAGCTCAAGTGGACATCGAGCGGTCGCGAAATCGTAATGCTTTGGTTCGCGTCCCGTCTTGGGTCTGACTTTTTTCCTTTTTTTCAAGTTCCCTTCTTTTGTGAGAAAATCTATTATTTTGAGTCCTTTTTTAGCATTTTTAAAAAATACGAAAATTTTAATTAAACTCTTTGCACTCATGATTTTTTATTCAAATAACCAGTTCAGTTTTTTCTATTATATCAATAAAATCAAAAAATATTATTCATGCAATTGGTATCTAAATGTAACTTAAAAAAAAACCGAGCAAAGCTCGGTCATCCGGGTACTTATTAAAATAAGAACAACAGTCAATTACATAAGCATTATTAAGGATAACTCAAAAACTTATTAATCAGATCTTGATTAAATTTGTATGGGACTCCACGAAAAGCATCAGTTTTCAGATAAAAAAGAATCGTTAAAATCGGTTCTCCCAAATAAAAAAGATCTGAGATAACACACACAAACAAACATACAGTCGAATTGAATACCTCCTCCTTTTTGAAGTCGGTAGAAAAAGTCCATTGTTGCAACCTAGATCCCCCCCAAGGATTGCCTCATAAGGGAATACTTGGCATAGTTGCCACGCTTGGTAAGTGGATTGCCCCAGATTTTTCCTCGTTGTTATTAGAAACTGCTCGACACCCACGTAACGATATGGGGTTGTGGATATTCATCCAAGAAACCATCCTAACTTCTATAAAAATAGCACATATGACTATTACCCTAACGTTTATAAAAATAGCACATATGACTATTATCCTAACGTTTATAAAAATAGCACATATGACTATTATCCTAACGTTTATAAAAATAGCACATATGAATATTATCCTAACGTTTATAAAAATAGCACATATGACTATTATCTTAAAGTTTATAAAAATAGCACATATGACTATTATTCTAACGTTTATAAAAATAGCACATATGACTATTATACTAACTTTTATAAAAATAGAACATATGACTATTATCTTAACGTTTATAAAAATAGCACATATGACTATTATCCTAACGTTTATAAAAATAGCAAATATGACTATTATTCTAACGTTTATAAAAATAGCACATATGACTATTATCCTAACGTTTATAAAAATAGCACATATGACTATTATCCTAACGTTTATAAAAATAGCACATATGACTATTATCCTAACGTTTATAAAAATAGCACATATGACTATTATTCTAACGTTTATAAAAATAGCACATATGACTATTATTCATCAATAATAATAAAAAAATATATAAGTTTTATTGTACGGGAGATACTGTTGCCAATTACAAATGCCAACATGATCCCATGAAGTGAACCGAGTAAGGGTCTGGAGACTGTTTAAAATGTATCGTCTGCTAAGTAGCAGCTACATTTTGGTTGCAGCAGGTTGACACGATCAGGATTCAAACACGGTCTCACAGAATACCAACGTAAAACAACTTAATTTTGCTGTGTTTCGTATGGTACTTTTTTTATAGAATAGGGGTGACAAACGAGCACATAGTCCAACTGATGATAAGTGGATTCTGTGGCTCATAGACATCTATATTTATCCTCAATTAAGAATCAAAATGCAGATGTGTTGTCACCCCTGAGGACTAAGGTGGAACGCCTCGTTTCCAGTAAAAAGGATCTCCGGTTCTCTACACTTACCATACTAAATATAGCAGCATTAAGCTGCTATTTCCCGCTGGTATTCTGTGAGAGCGTGGTTCTTCCCCAGTCGAGCCGACCCATTCGTGCTACAACTGTACTACCAATATAACTGCAGCATGGCACTACCACGTATAGTCACAGTAACCCATCAGAAATCTTTTGATTTTGATTTTTAATCGATGCTAGCTATAGGTGTCTGTGGATCGCAGCATCCTCTTACCATCAGGTGGACTGTGTGCTGGTATTATAGGTGTTTAGTGTTAGTTTTATCATTAGTTTTGTAATTTAACTTGAGCTGAAAATTTTGATTTTAGTTGCCTGCTTTGAGAGGAATGGAGAATCCTGACGAAGAATTTGACGTTGAGAAGGATTGGCCCGTCGTGACACAAGAGCAGTACGATGCAAATCCTTCGGGTTATAGAGAACTGTGCTGGGATTTGAAGGTTATATAACATTTTATTACGTGGTAGAGCCATGCTGCAATTATATTAGAAGTATAGTTGTAGCACAAATAGGTCATCTCGACCGGGGAAGGACCACGCTCTCACAGAATACCAGCGTGAAATAGTGGCTTAACGCTGCTTGTTTCGTATGGTGAGTGTAGAGACCGGAGACCCTTTTTACTGGAAACGAGGCATTCCATCTTAGTCCTCACGGGTGACAACGCATTTGCATTTTGATTCGTAATCGAGGATAGATGTAGATGTCTATGGGCCGCAGCAACTACTTACCATCAGGTGGACTGTGTGCTCGTTTGTTACCCTATCCTATAAAAAAAATTAGTTACTGTTGTTATAATTTCACCGTTACCGTTAGATCAAATTCAAATTCAAATTCAATCTTTATTGCATAACTTAATCTATTACATAGCATATTGTGGTTGGAGCTTCCTTTTAAGCAAAGGATTTGATTGTACTAGGAAGCACCGCTCTTCCAAATAATGGGTATATAACATTAAGTTGAGGTGAAAAATAATAGAAAATTAGTATTAAATTATAGAAGTATAAAATAATAAAGGCAGATTATTATTATATTATTGTACGACTTTAGAGTTACAAAATATGGTGCGCGTGCGTGCGTGTATGTGGGTGCGTGTGTGTGTGTTGTATGTATGTATTGAATATGTTCCCTTGTAAATTATTTTTATTATGTGGAATATAACACATATTGGTTTATTGGCCCTACGACTGTGCTTTGGGATCGGAAGTTATCATTGTTCAATGAATAGCTTTCTATAACTGTCACCAAAGGTTGCATAGTTGCATAGCACTCAGATATGCTTATGAGTGATGAATGATACTCTCGATTTCTTCATAGTTTTTTGTAATTAACCATTTCTCTAGTGTCTTTTTACATTGAAGATATGTTACAGGGTAAATATTTAGTTTCTTATTAAGTTTATTATATATGTAAGCAGATTGGCTGTTGTATTGCCTCTTTGAAAATACCGATTTAACCCGGGGCTGCGGAACAACGTTAACTATCGTCCTACGATTACTTTTTCCTGGGTCGTAGTAAATTGAGTTGTGTTTTCTCGTCACAATACGTAGGAGGTACAGCTTTCTTACCGATAAGATACCGTTTTTTAAATATAAGTTATCCGTTGGTGATCTGTATGGCAGGAAGAACATTACTTTCAGAAGAGCCCGTTGTGCTCTTTCCAGATTTAAGAAACTAGTTTTTGGTCGCACATCCCCAAACTGATATGCAGTAGGTGATAACCGATTTGGCAAGTGCGCAGTAGATTTTACGTAGAAGGCTCATTCGAGCTATGCGTCGCAGGGTCTTAAATGACCAGATTAGTTTCCTAATTCTGCTAATGAGTAACTCTATATGATGATACCAGGATAACCGCTGATCCAACATGACTCCAAGGTATCTCGTATTAAAAACTTTTTTTAACTCAGGACAAGAACAATCCGTGTCCAAATGATTATACAATAATGTAGTTTAATATAAAGCTCTCTGGAGGCTGCGCGTTGTTGTATTTGGTAAAACATATATAATTAGTTTTAAGTACATTTAAAGTGAGGAGGTTTTTGTTTAACCAAGATGCTAAGTTCATTAAGCCAGTCTCCACACGATTTTTAAGTTGCTCCCAATTATTAGCAGAAAAAACAATTGCTGTGTCATCCGCATATGAGAGTGTCACCACCCTCTATCTGCATATTACACAAGTTATTGTATTGTAAAGTATTTATAAATTGTGTTTTAATTGTATTTATGATAGACAAATCATTGATACGCATTTTGTAGTTATCGTATTGTTGTAGGAGCGTGGAGCTGTCGGGGAAACTATACTTCATCTGTGTTTGTTGAACGCCACGACTCTTCGAGATGATCTTGCAAAGAGAATTCTGCGATTCTATCCAAAGCTTATTAATGACATTTATATAAGCGACGAATATTACGGTATGTTGTTTAATAATATTTATTTTTTAAGCGAAACGAATCAATAAATATAATTATTTTTACTTATCTATTAACCATGGAAAATAGCAAATAGATCTCATGGATTTCGATAAAAAGCGGTAACAAAGGTTTTATTTACGTCAGACGTTAGATACCCAGACTGGCGTTGGGTTCAGTGTCAAAGGTGCGAGACGGTTTTCTTTTTTTCAGAACATGAGTGACAAACAATCCACCTGATGATGGGCCATAGAGATCTAAACATATCTCGGCTGCGAATCAAAATGAACATGCGTTGCCACACGTGAGGACTAAGATAGAATGCCTCTTTACAGTGTAAGGGCTCTCCGGTTCTCTACATTCACCAAGCGATACACAGCAGTGTTAAGTTGCTATTTTACGCTGATGTTCTATGTCTGGTATCGAGATTGTCTTTTCGCGTATTAGGAGCGTAGATTCGTATGATGGTTTAGGCAAATCTTTTGAATCCTCCTGTTTGAGTTATATGGCCGGTGCATTACCACTCCAGCCTACTGATTCATTGGATTATGTCAGTTACTCTGGTTCCAATGCAGATATCTTCATTTCAAAATCTACGACGCAGAGAAACTTCAAGATAACCCTCTTTAGAACTCGCGAAGCGACTTTAAACTTCCTGATTCGGTCAGCAGTGTACAATATGTAATGTGGTGGTGTGAGAATATTCTCTGCTTCATATCATCCCGTGGTTAACTTAAGAGGTGGCAGAGAGAAACTTAACCCGAGGGGGATAGCAGCATCATTCTGATAACAACTAAATAATAAAAACTGCGGAAGCGTGGCAACCATGAGGAGTGGTATAAAGATACTGTCAATCTTCGACAGCACCTGACAATAGCAACCATGGCAAAGGCGGGACAGGTGTTAAGAATTTCCGGCGGAGGTTCTGTTACCACTTGCAGTGACACTATTTTGTACCATTTATCACACATACCCTGTAAGCTGAAAGCCGAAAAGATACTGGAACTGAAAAAAAGATAATTTGCACTGGGATGTTATACGATTCAATGCGGTCCCAGGGAGGAGGAGGATACGGTAGTCGTCGAATCCGGCAACTTATTCTACAGCTATCAGTCCAGCTTGGGACGGATTTATTTTCCACAAGGCTGTAAATAATAACGTGGTCAAGATCAGAGGCCTACGTCGAAAAGGGTAATTTGGCTATCTTACACTCAGAATCACCAAACGGTATTCGTTGATGATTTCGATATGGCTCCTCCGATATCCACTATTATGCGTTGATTGGAGACTTCAACGTAAAGATTTGTACGTACGTACGATATGTAAGAAAGGGCAGTGAGCTCAAATTACTAAATCGTTTTCATTGCTCAAAATATTGTAATACAGTGGGTAGATACTAAATGGCAAGCTCGTGGAAACTTTCCATGCCGAGAAGAAACCAAAAAGTTTTCGATCTCACTTTTAATGTCATGGCTGTTGGGAAGAAAATTATATTGCAGTTTTAAGCAGATATGATAGCATACAGGCAACTAAAAAAAGCAAACAGATATCTAAAATGCATGCGACGAGACTTACGCGACTTCAATACAGCTCTTATTGAAGAAACGATTTAGCGAAATCAAGGTTCCAAAGTGTTTACCAGAGATCTATCTACCGCAAAGAACGACATTCCTAAGTTGAAAACTCACTGTGGTAGCGTCATTTCCAGGCGACCGGAGACCGGAGATGGAACAGAGATTAAGAGCCTGGAACCAAGTCTCAAGATGAACATCGAACACCTACGCTAGTTGGGAATATTAGAACTCGAAGTTGTTGATGAGAAAGTTTACCTAAGATTTTTTTGACTACAGAAGTTTAACTTCGATCAAGTGGTCAATTGACGGATCCAAATCGAATCGTTTAGGAGATTTCGCCATATCTTTTGTCACACATTCTTCTAAACTTTAAAGAAAGAGCTTGTAACCAATCCTCTACTGGCCGTAAATAAAAGATGCGAAATTTTATTCTTTACAATAATGATCTCTATAACTTTTGCCTTAAAGTGCATAGTTTCTGAGATATCGGCTGAAAAAGTTTTTTCAAGATATTGCTTGAAGCGCTACCTGAATCGGTCAGCCTTTTGTGATTTTACGCTGAGTAAGTGATCCTAAATCTTATAAAAAATAAAAATTGGATCGGAAATTCAGTGCAAAGTTGACAAAAAACGTCTATTTTTACTGGCCTATCCTATATTATCTATACACAACATGTTATATCAGCAAAAGAAACATTATAAACATTAGTATGTACTTATATATTAACATGTAAACAAAATAATCATTAATATATGTTATACATAAATGCATATTATACAAACATAATTGCAAAACAGTTCTCTAACTTTCATCTTAAACGCGTTCATTTTGTAGCATTATAATTTTAAATTTCAATTGATGTTCTAAAACAGAAAAGGGAAATGAACTAGTAAATTATGTAAGCAAAATTAAATTTCAGCCTTCATGCGAAGGAAGTAGTTAGTAACTTTAATTTATTATTTTCCTACATTTGTAAATTAATACCACTTAGGGTAGTATTCTATGCTATGCATAATATGTTCTTGGCCTTAAAAGTCTTTGAGTATCAATTTGATAGAGTACCTGATAATAAAATGCGCCAAAATGTAGGGCTGCAGAAATTCATTACGTCAAAATTTATCATTATTAAGAACAAAATTATATTAACGATGTCTGTTTGATGAATACTTCGTCAAATTTTATCGTAAGGCATTTTATATTATCACTAACACAATGATGTTTTGTTTGGAGTTTCTCTGTAAAATATTAAACACAGCTCAACGACTCAGAGCCTAAAGTGAGACTCGTTTTACTGGAAACGAGGCATTCCATCTTAGTCCTCATGGGTGACCACGCATCTGTATTTCGATTTGTAATCGAGGATAGATGTAGATGTCTATGGGCCGCAGCAACCACTTACCATCCGGTGGAGTGTGCACTCGTTTGTCACCCTATCCTATAAAAAAGTGGCAATGGGTTGGTCATATATATCAAAGAAATTGACAATAAAGAAAAAAGAAGACCTTATATTGGCACAAGCCGTTAAAATAAACAAAAACTTACAAAAACAACCTAAAAATCACAAAAGTGTAATAATTTGCAATTTGTACGTTGCAAAGCATGCCAATTTTTTACTTGGTACTGTTTCCGCTAAGCCTATATTGAGGTTAAAAGCTTTTGGAGCGACAACCTCGTACTGCATAGGGAAATATCGAGCGACCGTCTCCTCGATGGAGTGACGACCTGATAAAAGATGTGGCTCAGGATCATGCTTTTTCGCAGTATATTGGTGAGGTATATGTTCAATTGTGGATTTGTGATGGTTTATAACGATGATGATGATGATGATTAATATAAATTATGAAATTTAAATGATTTTATTCAGAATAAATCTTTGCTTTTGTTTTATTCTAATAAAATGCTTATCTATCATCCATACTTCCATACTTAATTTTAATTTATTATAAATGCGAAAGTGTGTTTGTTTGTTTGTTTGTCCTTCTTTCATGTCGCAACAGAGCGTCGGCATGGCATGATTTTTTTGTATGGGGATGGTTCGGTGGCTGTAGAGTGACATAGGCTACTTTTTTCCGCGGAAAAACATCTCATTCCCGTGGGAAAATCGAATATGTTGCACAAGTTTGTCCTTCTTTCACGTCGCAACAGAGCGTCGGCATGGCATGATTTTTTGTATGGGGATAGTTCGGTGGCTGTAGAGTGACATAGGCTAAAACATATCATTCCCGTGGGAAAATCGAATATGTTGCAAAATTAAATTCAGCTAGGTGGCGCCACCGTGATTCTACAAGACGGACGACGGTACGATGGAAGAACACAGAAGGTCAGAATATCTGGATTATTATGTCTTTTTACCAAAATTAAGATAAAAATGTATGGATCTGTATTTTTCCACGCAGGACCGGGAAGAGAGCAATAAAAACATAAAATTCACCAGCTAATTTTCTTCAAACGTTTTGGTGCATTGTAATTCACAAAATAGGCGATAACCTCGCAGACGATATTAAGTAGGTAATCCGTTGATGCTCTGCCTACCCCGCAAGGGTTACAGGCGTGATTATAAGTATGGATCAGAAATACTATCACCACCTGTCACGCTTTCACCCTTAACTATTACTTAACTGTGGTAGAAACAGTTCTTAGGAAGCCTTATTAATAAGCCTAAGTAATATTTATTAAACGGAAATGAATACAGTTCTTATATGTGGTTATGAATGAATCGGTATTACAATAAGAAAAATTGTGCAAAATTATAAGAAAAATATTTTTGAGAGTTCTTATTAATTAACGTATACATAGTTTAAATTGATTCCGATAGATGTCATTACTAGGTTGAAAAGGTTGAATGGATTTAAAAAACTTTACCTGTCATTCAAAAGGGCACACCTGCAGATGAAATTAAAGCATGCCTCAAGTCGTCTATTTTATGGAACAAGGTGACAAAATTCAGTTTAACTACGAATATGAGAGTGCATTTGTATAATGATATCAATGCTGGAAACTATGCTGACACACTATTAAAATTGGCTACGGGCTGTTGGAAACGGATGCTGAGGGCTGCGTTAAATTGACGAGAGATTTTTGTAATTTAGTACAGAGTCGTTCCGAATTAATTGCGAGCGTTTATTCAGATTTAACGAACAACATGCATGAAGACAAATGGTTATGTGAAAGGGCGATTCTTGCACCAAAAAATGAGAGCGATAACAAAATAAATTCAGATATATTAAGCGAAGTAGCAGGAGAAATAACAGAGTATTTGTCAGTAGACACAGTTATGGACACACAACAGAGCACTTCATATCCCGTAGAGTTTCTAAATTCTCTAGAGTTGTCAGGTGTGCCCTCACATAAGCTTCAATTAAAATTAGGCATCCCAGTCATGCTAATGCGAAATTTAGATGCTCCTCGGTTATGTAACGGGACAAGGCT